CCACGTGCTTTCTTCAGGAAAGCTGTCACACCTCGTCCAGGGGCTGGTGGGGGCAGTGCCAGCATCAGGCTGGGGCTGAGAGCGGAGCCTCATGACTCATCTGCCAGCCCCAAAGACTGATGATGCCCTTAGAGAGGAGGGATCTCTCTGCACCCTAAATCACAGCAGTGATTGCATCTGTCATCACTGGCATGATGAGGGTGAGCCTGGGCATGGTGTAAGAGTGCTCATCCGCCCTTCTCGCTCGTTCCCAGCACCGCAGCACTGAGCCTCCCAGGCCTTCAGCGCTCAGGCCCAAGGTGTGCCAGAGCCCAGAGAAACGAAAAGATCCTTCCCTCCTGCCTCCCCAAGCCTGTATTTCTCAAGAGAGAGTAGTGAGAGGGAAGAAATAGAAAGATGTTACATAAGGGCTTGCTGAAATTAATTGCTAAGGATATCTGACATGACATATCTGAGAGCATAGTAAAGTCCTTACAAAACCCCTCCCATGCTTTTCAGGTCCTCTAAAGTATCAGATACTTGTATTTTTCATTTAATTCTTCTGCAATCTGGGATTTGAGATATTCCCCCCGCCCCAGTATAATAGCCTTTACTCCGTCACTAATTTGGGGTTCTTGACTTCTTAGAACTTGATGTCATTTGTAATACACACAGATATGCCAAACAGCTTGCTACTTGTAACTACAATTTTAAGCTCGAAAAAAAAAGCCAGAGTCTGTGCTTCAAGAAGGAAGCAGGCCAGAAGTTCCAAAGATACTTCTCTGGAGAAGGGCAGTCTGTCTGTCCCTCAGACTGCTGCACCTACGTGACTTCAGTGAGGAAGCCTAGCTGGCTTCAGCTAGTAAGCAGCTAAAGTGAGTCACCGTTAGGCTTTCCCAAGTACAGTCATGTCAAGGTGTTACTACTCCAACACCTTTTACTGACAGCAAGTCATAATCTGAAACTGGCAACAGACAGATTGATTCTGAGTCCTTCACATAAACTCAACCATGGGAAAGGCTGTTCAGGGTCTCTAGCTTTTAGGACATTCACGTTTGACCCTGTTCTCTGGTTACTGCCAGCCATCTCTGTTGGGATTTCTCTACACTGGCTAGCACTTTTCATTATTTGGCAATGGGAAATTCATTTTTAAAAAGAAATAAATAAAAATCAGACCTGTGTGTACCAATTACAGAGGAATTACTGCTTCGCCTTGTTATCTTCAAAAATAGGGAAGCGGTACAGTACTTGTTACACCTTTCCCAGCTCAGGCCCAGTCACAGCCCTGTGAGTCCCTTGGCCCTCCCTTGCCTGCTACCATCTACACCCAGTTTCGCATTAACCAGTTGGGAAGCTCACCAGCAGCAGCAAGGTCCCAGCCACACAAGTCTATGGATGCAGCTTCCCACAACTAACCAATCATAAAGCAATCTGACATTAATTGCATATAATTACATTACCTGTTAAATGCCGTTCATCCCTATAAGCGTGACACACACCATGTGTCCACACCATCGCTAGCTGGCTGTGGTTCGTGTTTCATGAACAGTTAAATCAAAGGCTCCGTGTTAAACGGCTGCAGAAGACCCAGAGCAGGTTGTGCCCAACTGCTCCAACCACAGCTCACCAGGGGCATCGCTTAAGGTAACCTGGTAACCTGCCAGAGAAAATACCAGAAACCACGTACCAGCACATGCTGGTGGAACGAAATGAGCACATGTTCCCGAGGTGCTGGCTCACATTGCCAACCCCTCCACAGCCTGAGCCGCTGCTTTTCACAGTACCTCAGAAAAAACAGAGCAGTAAGAAACTTTACACGTAACGACACATTGAGGCACAGCAGTTTATAAGCGACGACAGCGAGAGCACACGCCTGGAGTTGAGCTGAGGTATTTCAGTTCTCTCCATTCTGTACTTATACTAAATATTCGGGAGCAGATGTCTTCCAGCACATGGCAGTCGACACACTGCAATGTGGGGCACAGCTGCAAGAGGTGCACAGTGAAGCGGTTGCAGTAAATAAGTGGAATTAACTTCTGGGGTCCTGTTACATGTGAGAGCAAAACCAGAGCAGAGCGTACATGCTGACAGAGCTGGGCCTTGCACCGAGGTTTCAGATCTTGGGCAGTTTGGGTGACAATAGCTTTGTCTTAAGACAGTCTTCTCGTGGTGCACAGACGGCACACACCCCGCTACTCACTTCTGATATGTATCAGTGCTGATGCTAACATGTTGGGTTTTTACTACTGCCCATTTTACATTGCAAAGAAGAATAGTACTGGGTTAGGTTTAGATTAAAAACATTCAGTTGATACTGGTAAAACTTCAACTCACATACACCTTCATGAGAATAAAAAAATTAGTTTACATACCACTTAAGCAGATTTGGCAAGTTGGTTCATCTCACAGGAAAACCCTGAGACAAGTAAAGCACCTTAAGTTTCCCCAAGGGTTAATGACAGAAGGAGACCAACATGTGGCCGAGATAAGATTCATGTGACTGACTCGTGCACTGCACAGCAAAACGTTTTAACTGAGATTTTGAAACCGGTACTGGTATGTGTTCCAGAGCTGCCAGGACAGCCCCATGTTTGCCAAGATGGTAAGCAGGACAAGGGTATTAAAAATGTTCTCTAGCTGAACAGCAGCTTGTAAATTTTACGAAAACATGTAAAGCACCCCGATGGTCTAGCTAAAAAACAGCTGCCTCAACCTATAAACAAAACGCTATTTTAGCAGATGCTGGTCGTGACAACTTCAAAGCCTAAATCAAGTTCAATCCATGCAAGACAGTAACTGAGAGGTTACAAATTAACGTGCATTCACACACAAAGTTGGATTTCCTCAAGGCAACCTGAGCTTCCATTTCTACTGCTTTCTAATTTAGTTTGTGACTCTGTGACCTTGACAGGCACTGCTCTGTCTGGGCTGTTTGGTGCCCGCAGCACTGAGAACCTGCTCCCAGCCAGTGTGGCTCCAGGAGGGGCCAAAACCCAGTGACTGTCCGGAGTAACGAACCACATTGACATGCAAATTATCAGTTATGCATCAATCAATATATCACTTTTATTAACCAGATTTTCCATTTCTGTCGCACACCGTGAATGTTTATACAATGAAAAAGCCAAACATTGCTGGAAGCAATAAGATCAGCTGATATTTGTGTACCCTCTTAACACACACACACACACACACACACACACACACGCACGCACGCACTCTTTCTTGATGGGAAAATTGTATATTTCTGTTCATTAATTCTGCTTATTTAACTGCTACTCTTAAAATTCTGTGTCAAGATTGTCACATATTAAATACAGATTAAGTTGCTAGAGGTACATTATTTTTTATATATATTTATATACACACATACAGAAAAATACAAGACTAATTGTTCTTCCACGATATTTAATTTATACACTACCGAAACTATATGTAACTTTCAAAGACACGTTAAGGGGTACAAGAAACTGTTTACTTGCTCTAAATAGTTTGGTCCAATAGTATCTTAATGTAGTGGTTATTCTCACCCTTCCTTTTACGTGACGACATAGTACGACATACACCACATGCACAATCATTCACCTATCAACAAACGGATCAAGGACACCACTCGGACAAACATCTGTACACCCGGGGGTTCAACCAACCACACACAACTCTAAGGCTATGATACAACTATGCAGCATAAATGGTCAACACCGCTGTTCTAGAGTGAGCACCATATATACAGTCGTATATAAAAACATCGGAAACAAAATACACCTGGGGTTAGTTAAAAGGTGCCATTCCAAGGCTGTACATAGTATCAGGAAAGAGTATTTACAATACTTGGAAAAAAGCTGCAACAAAATAAGTTTATTGCCAATGCCCTTTATAAACTTGTCTCCTACTTGGATGTTACGCTCACTGTCTGTGAACCACACATCTCATTTCTGGCCCTTGGTAAGATCCCTGCTCAAAAATTTCAAGCAAATATGTTCTATGGCTTTGCCCACACATCTATTCTTGTAGCTTTTGATTTATAAATATCACACTGACTAAACTGCAACTAGAGTTTAAAACTTAACAAAGAAAAACACTTATCTTTCGCCTTATGCAGGAAGCAGAACATAAAATCCCCAGCTAGGCTAGTCCGTAAGAATACCCTACGCAATTCAGGCTCTCTACTTTAGTAAAGTTCTTTACTAATCAAAAAGAGCTGTAGAAATTATGACCAAGCGTAACGCTGCTCTTTGGTGCTCCGCTTACTCCGCAGCGGACGTGAAATGCGTTGTAGTATTTGACCTTTCTGCAAGTGTTACAAGATGCTCAACAACGTAAGCTCCTCTCAGACATCCGACGTCTGCCCAGGGCGCTGCTACATCATACCACCAGTTTCACTAGCATTGCTTAGAAGACCCAGTGCACAGCATGAAAAAATAAAACATTCTTGCCCTTCCCAAAACTAGGAATCTGCAATATATTTTATTCTAGATAATAAAATCCCACAAAGTTAATTCATCTGGTCAAAAGTAGCCTTTTGTACACAAATACTCTAAATCAAGACCTTGCCATGGCAATGTGAACCCAACAGAAAGCTGTAAAATAAACACTTTCCTATATGCTATTTTAACTGACTTTAAAAAAAAGCATGATTACTGAGGGAAAAGAATTGGTGCATATGTGGTGTACAAGTATTTTAAGTCTTTAAAAGAGTAATAATGAGAAAAATGTAAATGACAGTAGTAATTTCAATTTCGATCCAATTACCTACAGGTTTTCCATCCCTTATTGCCTTTTGAAATCTCAGGTAGGGGAAGAGAGGAGAGAAGGTTTACAAGGTAAAAACCTAAAATATTAACTGTCATGATATACTAATAACAAAAGTAATTCATACAAATACTTTATTTTCAGTTAGCATGTAAAAACTCAGAAGTAGACTTAATTTACCTTTGTTATTAAAAAAGAAGATTGTCTGCTTGTAATATTAACATATTTCTATGGGAGAAAGGTGCCTTACAAATCTACTTGCTTATTTATTTATTTTTTTAGAAAAAAGAAAACTGCTTCTAGCAAAACAAGATCTTTTCAGTTTGATTTTTTGAGCCACAACTTTATCCATATCATAGTTTAAGACAAATAGGTGTGGGTTTAAAATCATTTTTCAAGATCACTAATTTTCAGTGCATCTTTGCTTTGTACAAGCCTTGGAACATCTGAAAGCTCCCTGAAGAGTTTTCAGCATCAAAAAATTATTGCTTTGGTTCCGTTTCAGACATATAGAAGTATGCCACATATCACATATTTTAGTTATCACAGGTCAGAACAAGAATTAACATTTCACAAGCAAACAAAAGCTTCTCTCTCTAGTTTAAGTGCAGAATATGAAACTTTTAAGTGCTCCATATACATTAGGATCCAGATATTTATTTTAATTTAATCCAGATCTTCCATAGTAAAATTATAAATGTAAAAATTACACAATAAAATATTCTGGATTGTCAAAAAAGAAAAACATCAGCTAGCAGCATGCAGAGATCATGCATTGTCATACCATCGAGCAAACACAAAATTAAAGTGTAATAAATAACTGCTCAAAGCCCACTTAAAAATCTTAAGACAACAAAAGGGTGTCCATGACAAGGTGTTCACAGCTCTGAACAAGAAGAAAGATGCTGTCAAGTAGACTGAACTCTTAAAGTCAGATCGTCGTCAAATGACATGACAACAACTGGTTTGACTGGAGGTGCACAGGAGCCCCTCCTTTGGGTTCCGCTGAATATTCACAGATATCGTCTTTTCACAGAGAGGTAGTTGTAGCACGTTGTTTTTCAAGTTCCTGTTCTTTATCCTTTCCAATTCATTTGCCGCATCTGACATTTGGTCAGAAAAAAATTTTAGGCTGCCCAGCGAGGAAGCCTGATTTGCACTTCCGCTGGAACTTATACACATTTTCCACGTTGATTTCTCCTGTACTTTTACACTGGAAAAGGACAGACTGTTTTGAGGATCAAGAATGTATTTAGTGCTGCCATGAATCTGTGAACCCAGACAAAGGCTCATTAACTTCAGGCTTTCAACCAGTTCCCCTGTGCTTCTAGATGACAGCTGCATTGAGTTCCCAGATCCAGCGCATCGCCGAGTGGAACCCGAAGTGGTGTTGGTGCCACCACCGGAGCCACCAGAGGGGCTCCCCCCACCTTTGTTGTCACTGCTCGGGCTTGTTTTGTCTACCCCTCCATTTCCGTTACTTGGTTTGCTTTGCCCACTGCCGTCTCCTTGGCTGCCCGGGGGCCCTTCACTGCTATCCCGCCTATGCCAGGAGTAAGTAAAGCCACTGTCTTTGTCCAGGCGTCTCCTGCTTTCCGAGTCGTCATCGCTCGTCTCTGAGCTACTGCAGCTAGAGCCCCGGCCCTGGCTTTTCCTCCTGTGGTAGCGTTTGTGCACTGTGCTAGGTGAAGCGATGTTCATTTTTAACCTGCTGAGCTTCGGCGGCAAGTTCTCGTCCATGTCAAACTCATCATCGGACTCGCCCTCCTCAAAGATTTGATTGAGGACCGGTGCACTCTTTCTTGAAGTGAGACGATTTGTAACTGAAGGCTTACGGCGCAAAACAACTTGAGTCGAAAGAGAAATAGGTTTCTTATCTTCTTCGTCTTCCTCTTCATCTTCTTCTACTCTGAACAAACACTTCCGGCCGCTTGTAGTGGGTTTTAAGCTCACCGACGGGACTGCCGAAAGTGCTGGTCCAGCTAATTCAGGGAGATCTTCTTTCTTTGCTGAATCGCCGAGGGCCTTGCTTCTGTGACCATTGAGAACATTCTCAGCCGTGCGAGCTGGGGACTGAGGAACGGTTGCGTGGGAGAGAGGAGAAGCTGTAAGGTCATCCTCCAGATCCTGGGGTACATCGATTTTTGTTGGCCAAGATTGCCTACGTAAGGAGTTACAAAGGATAAAAGAAAAGTTAGATCATGACAAGCATTTCAGCATATAAGAAAATACGAGATCTGCACAAGAAAAGCACGAGCAACACCACAGAAATTGGCCTGCTGAGTGGCATGTTTGTAAATAACAGTACTGAGTAACTAAGGAAAACATTCTCAGAGAAAATGCATTTCTTCAGAAATGCTGTTATTTGAGAGGAACATCATATATACAAAAACAGTTTAGAAATTATGTTGGTTACTGTTAAAAGAAATCTTAAGATTTCACTGCTCTCAGAAAATGAATAAAGCAATAAAAAAACTCCCTTAAAATAATTGTGTCTTTAAGAAAATAATCTGAAGTAGGTAGAGAACGAACAGTACCTAGAGAAAGATATGAGCCAATTCAAACTTAAATACAATAGGATTGCAAATGCTTTTCACGTGAAGCTTCTGTTACTTTTTCCCTCATTATTCTAAAAAGCTGACTAAAAAGCTGAGTCAGAAGAAACATTCTCTCGTTTTCAGTAACTCTCATTCAAACCAAACTCAAAATCTCCTTTAATTTTAAACACACATGAATTGGGATCATACATTTATGTGTCCTTAGTTGAGCAACTGGAATAATACAGCGTGTGAATTCAGGACTTGGGCTGCTTGACCCTTCAATAAACTGGCTATCCAAGTTCAAAATGTATGACTATGTACGGGCATTAGCTCAAATAAAAATGAAACTAACACTTGAGTGTGAATCACTTACAGTTAGCAGCTCATATCTTCAGTATCTAAGCAGGTATCTCATGTTTTTTATTTTACTTTAAATCCTAATGTATATTGTAATGTTCCCATAATGCACACAAAATAAAACTAAGAACAAAGACTGTATACACTCTCTGTATTTTAAAAGCCTAATCCAAAAGACCAACACCTACAGGTAACACCTTAACACTGAAAAATTTCATTGCTTCACTCAGCATGAGCCCCATATTTCTTGTGGAGATCAAGAATTTTTTCCTAACCTCTTGAAGAATTATCTCTAATTTCAAAAGGTTTGCCAAGCATTTATCTTTACGTAACTAAAATACTCTAGCATACTGCATGAAAAGTTGTAGCAGAAACCTCTGTTCACGTATGCGTAGCATATTGTAAGACATTCCCATCTTTTGGGTGTGCCAAAAGAAAGGGCTGCCTGACTTTGTAGCCCAGTTCAGAAGCAAAGCATAGGAGGAACAGGGGAGAGAAAGCATACGATGTTTCACATCAAGTGTGTCCACAAATATCTGCTTGGACAGCCTATATACAAAGATGGAAGGATCATACCAACTTCCTGATCTCCTCTGGGTTAAGAGGTCAAGTTGAAGAAACACGGAAAGCTATTCTTATTTTAAACATGTTCTTTTAAAGTGTTTAGAACTACCTGCACTAGGACTTCATTTGCTCAAGGCTCCCTCTGTAATGGCTGGATAGAAAAGAATCCTGAAGTATGAGATACTTGTCCACACAGGTAACTCTTTAACTACATTTTCCCAATTGAATAAACTCTAAAGAAGAGTCTTTTAATAAAGCAAACATTAAACTCATCAAGCCTAACTGCAGACTTCATTTTTAAGCTCTAGCTTCAGTTTTGTTTCATGAACCAGCGATAACAAAATTCACCAGGGTCTCCTAAGAGTAGGACCTGGCTGCCAACACACCCGTTTTAAGTCCACGTAGGCACCATTGCCTGGGAGAAGCTGTGCAGGCTCCTTCCCATCTCGCTGGGCACTGGTTGCTGCTGGTGCCCTTCCACTGGTTCCCCTCCCGTGAGCATCTCTGCCTGGATGGAGCCCACACAACCACCAGCTCCAACTCAAGCTGTCCTGACAAGAAGTGGAGCCTCAGCTGTGGTCCTACTTGGTTTGATACTGGCATCCTCCCTTAGGCCCTGACTGACTCCAGAAATGCTGGAAACCACTGAACTAGTTTTCTGATGACTTATGCTATACTGCGTATTTTAAACTCAAGCAACTGTCTGTGATTAACAAATAGGACGTAAATAAATTAGAAACGTAACTACAAAAGTGACAGAAAATTAAGATCTAAATCTTTCAAGTATTTATCATGCTTTAAAAAGAGCCTGACGTGTCAGAGGAAAAAAAAACCGAAGCAAAAAAAAGAGTTCTGTGGCTGTCACAACAATGGGTAAATATAGTATCTAACAGTACTGTAGTTTCCAGGCAATAAACCTCCTCACTACAGTATGTTTATCATTCACAGCAGCCCATGTTTGCCTCCTTTCCTCCTCTATTCCCGTTTGGTCCCCATGTGTTGCCTTATCTAGTTGAGAGGTGAACCTGCCCATGACAGGGAGGTTGGATTAGATGATCTCTAAGGTCCCTCCCAGCCCAGGCCATTCTATGATTCTATTCCCAGTAGGCCTGAGGTGAGAGAAGGACAGAAAGGAAGCTCCAGGTTGCAAGTCAAGTTAATATTTTGAGGTCTCAAATATCGAAGTAATGCATTACTTTGTCATCTTTTTCATGAGGTCATTTTACATGAACACTTTCAATTCAGAATTGTCATGAAGCTACCTGCAACTATTAAGGGCAAGAGTTCCCAAGTTTATACAGATGCTTTTGTCATCAAAGAAAATTCATGCTCATGAGGCAGGCTTCAACTATTCAACTTTACAAATTCATATCAAGATCTCAATTCAATGAACTTATTTGTTCCAGTTTCTCACATAACTAGAGCAGTGCTTCTGCTGAGTGACACTGATGCTGAGAAAAAACCAAAACAATTTAAAAGCAGACTTTGTAAGTTTTAGAATTTTCATTTTAATATGAAGTCGTAAACTCAAAGTTTACCTCTGAAGTAATCTGTTTTAATAACTAATACTTGGTATTAGGCACATTTGATGTTCTGCTTGAATTTCTTTTTTGAAAAAAATTGATATAAGATGATCCATTAAGAGAGAACTGCAGAGTGAAAGTTACACTTTTACCCTTGAAGAGAGAGAAGCTCTGTAACACCAAGCTCCACAGGACTTCGGTTCTGTAGGCAACCCCCAGTTCCTGGGACAATAACTCTTCTGAAGTACACAACATAAAATTTCCTACCTAAGTGACCATGGAGTAAAAGACCTTTTAAGTGTAGCAACAAAATTTCAGTCTACTCTAGTACACTGCACATCTGAGAACCACTGCAAGGTTCATAGGGAACTCATTAGGCAGGCAGACTAATATGGTATTCAGAAGAGACTCCTCTAAAAGCCTCCAAAATCTCAGCCTAAATTCAAGGTAACAACCAATGGAGATGGTTAACCCGCTTTGCAAAGTGCATGTGCTTTATTTATAGCAAGTGTCTGCTTTTTCTTGATTGAACTCGAGGTAGTAGTATCTGACTTCTGTCAGTTAGGCCAAGGAAAATATGGATATGCGCTAGAAGGACACCACAGCATTTATGTCCCTATTATCATTCTTATCAAATGATTTCACATTGCATGAAAGTTGCACAAAGAAACCTTTGGAATGAACAAGCTATTCTGTGTTTTTCTCTAAAACCTACAGACAGATTAACAACACTGAAGGTAGGCAGCAATTCTAAACATCAGTACAAGCACTTAATATTCACCGCTTAAGAGATTAGCTAATAACAACTGCTACTATTGCTATTTACAGTTTAACAACAACCTAAAAGGCAACTTCTGAAGTGAATGAAAGTTAGAGAACAAAAATCAGTGTAAATGCCTCAGCACAAGCTCCATTTTCACTGAAAAGATTGTCGAGATAGAAAAAAAACCCCACAACCTTCATTGGCCCAATACCAGCAGACACCTAATCATGGTCTAATATTTAACTCAGGAAATTTAAACCAAAATGTTTAAGAAAAATAACAGTTTTCAGTATGTATCCTCCAATATCTATGTGCAGTTAGAAACTATACTATTGACCTTGTGTTTGTTTGGATTATTTTTTTTAAAAGTATATGCTATTGTAACTGAAAATATTTTTTGCTAACTTGTTGCAGAGCAAATGGACTGGTTGAACACATCAATACCAGCTGAAGCTAAGTTCCCCCTTTAGCTTTGCTGAGTCACAAGCTGAAGCTTTGAAAAATCTGAGGGAACCTTACCATGTTTTTTTAAAACATGTTTTTTTGAAACTAAAAAAAAATTTGCAGTATCTTTAAATGGGTGATCAAAGCAATTAATTCAAGTTTTCCTTAGACAACAGGCATATCAGCTGATATGAAAAAGAACAAAAATAACAACCTACAGACATTTGGCTCCAAGCTTGATTAGGGGATAGTATCAGAGAGTGGTTTGAGTTGGAAGGGACCTTAAAGATCATCTAAGTTACAACCCCCCTGCCATGGGCAGGGACACCTCCCACTAGACCAGGTCGCTCAAAGCCCCATCCAGCCTGGCCTTGAACACTTTCTTCCAGGGATGAGGCATCCAGAGCTTCTCTGGGCAACCTGTTCCAGCGTCTCACCACCCTCCCTGTAAAAAATGCTTTCCTTATGCCTAATCCAACTCTGTCCTGCTCTAGTTTAAAACCATCGTCCCTTCTCCTATCACTACATGCCCTTGTAAACAGTCCCTCACCAACTTTCGTTTAGGTCTCCTTCAGGTACTGGAAACCTTACGGTCTCCCCAGAGCCTTCTCTTCTCCACTCTGAAAAACCTCAACTCTCTCCGTTTCTCCTCGCCGGAGACCTGCTCCAGCCCTTTGATCATCTTTGTGGTGCATGTCCTGCTTTGTTGGAGAGTCCAGAGCTGGACGCGGCACTCCAGGTAGGGTCTCACAAGAGCAGAGTAGAGGGGGAGAAAGAATCACCTCCCTTGACCTGCTGGCCAGGCTTCTTTTGATGCAGTCCAGGACAAGGTTGACTTTTTCGGATGCCAGTGCACGTTGTCCACTTGTGTTGAGCGTCTCATCAACCAGCACTCCCAAGTCCTCTGAGGGGCTGCTCTCAATCCACTTGTTGCCCTGCCTACACAGGTGCTTGGGACTGCCCAACCCAG